CTGTCCTTCTGCTGTTGAAACTGGTCGCGTGTTCCCCTGATGTTGGGTCTTGAATGCCGTGCGTTGAGTACCCTCTAGTTGGTCCTCACGAGGATGGAATTCATGAATCACGAACTGGTCATGTTTGTCAGCTACCCTATGGACGCTTGATCCATTTGCCCGTCGAAGCATCATTCTGTAGCTGTCAAAGTAGATGCCTGCGCTCATCAGCTTTCTCAGTGATGCTAAATTTGTTGGCATATCTGGGCAGTAAGCCACTCCCTTCAAACTGAGATACTTGCCACTGCACGTGGGTACTCTTACAGTACCATAGCCTTTGATCTCGATGTAACCTCCACCCCCGAGAAGGTACTCTGGCTCGCTCAGCTGGTGGTAATCTGTTAGGTACTCAAGATCATTGGCCACATGGTCTGTACTGGCTGAGTCCAGTAGTACTGCTTGTCTCAGACCTTGGGCTGGTGAGACCGTAAAGCTCATGCCTGTTCTATATCTAGGCCAAGGCTGTACGGTTAGTCACCTATCTGCCCTACTATCTTCGACTGATCTCAGTGCCTTGCACTCATCATCAGGTGGCATAGGCATTCCGAGTCTCTTTAATTCTCTGATAACCCTTTCGGTTTTCTTGTTTCGAAGCCAGATACTTCATCTGAACTCCAATGGCTTCCATTCTTCTGACCTCTTCTTTGGGTCAACGAAGAAACAGCCTTAAGCCAGATACTGCGTCTGAACTCCAGTGGCTTCCATTCTTCTGACCTCTTCTTTGGGTCAACGAAGAAACAGCCTTCGAGTGTGTGACCTTTCAGGCCACACCCCCAACAGCCACCAACGGTGCCTGATCGGTGTCTTTTTGTTTCATTCCCACCCGCCTTGGTATGAGGTCTTGATGGCAGATCTTTGGATTGATCAGGTCCTTCAGATTCAGCCTCAGCAGCTACAGACACAAACGCTCCACGCCTTGCTCCAGATTGGGCAGGTCTTACAGAATGCCGAATGCTGTACTCTGATTGAATAGCCTGCACCACATCGCGGTAGGTCTTAAGATCACCATTTCCAGCTGTGGTCTGGAGGATCCGAGTTACTGTGCTCGGGACCAGATCACCAACTGCAGCCAGTAGGTCACTCGACCACTGCTCATAGTCTAGTGCATGTGGTAGGTCAACTGCTTCAGCTTGAAGCATTGCCTCCTGCCACTTAGACACCCAAGATGTAATTGTCTTCGCCGTCACCGGCGTCCTGATTGCGGTGTTGTACGCCTCCCTCGCGCGTCGCTTTCGTAGAGCTGGATCGCCTCGATAGACATCTCGCAATTTCTAAACTTGTATACGGAGCGGGTCTTTTGCCTTCAAGTATAGTTTGGCTGTATCATCGCATGTCTGTCGGATGACCTGAGCTGCTTCCATGTATTCTCGTTCTTCAGCTTTGAATTTGGGTAGGTCCTTGCGAGTGAAGATCTCCAGGTCGAACCTGAATTCCTCTCTCTCTTTGTTTGTGAGGTTGTATTGGACTCGATTATACTCAGGCGGCTCGACCTGCTCCTCCTCTGCCCTGCTAACCGCCGTGGTATAGGTGGCCGAGTAGGCTGACTCAATTGGTTCCTCCATGTCGAGGGTTGGTATGGCTGGTGGATTGGTTGAGTCTGGGTCTATGAATTTCGTCCATAGCGTAGGTGTAACCATCCCTTCCAGTTGTTCGATCCACTTATCCCAATCATCCTGAGTCTTGAGGATGACTAGCTGTTCCTTCACTTTGATGGTATTCGCCATATCTGCTATGGTTTGTATGACGATTGTCAGGAACTTATTCAACTCGGTTGACTGCCCAATTGATAGATGGGTTGAGTGTGGTATGATTGCTTCAAGTTTTCGCTTTTGCAAAGTGTTGATGAGCTTAAGATCCGGCATCTTTACTCAGGTTGTATCCTGCAGGTCGTGCATGCTGCTGCACCTTCTCGCTTCGTATAGTACTGTATTGGTCGCTAACCGGGCTCATAACTGTCGATGTCTGTGCGGAAGATCACGGGAGCGATGAATGGTGCATAAGTGAGATCGTAAACCTGCTTAGTTCATTCTATCCTGTCTTGACTGATGGATTGTATGGTTCTTTTGCTGTCCCCTACCCCTGGCTCTCCTCTCTTATCTAGCCAGCGTTTGCTTATGTCACGTGATACTTGGTATGTGCTTAGACTGACAAAAACCGAGTAACGTCACCGGTAACGTCCATTATAAGTGAGTGGCCCATATAAGCGAGTGGCCTGTTCGCCCCACCATCATTCACCATTTGAAGCAATAACTTCACAACACCATGTTAAATTAGCTATAGGATAATAAAATAATAATCTATATATATTTTTTATTATTGGGAACACTGATCAATCCTATGACCTGGCTAAACACATCTGCTGCAGTGGTATGGACGACGCACTGCACCACCACCCTGAGGCTGTGTTAGGAATACTTTCCCAGTACCGACTAGCTTCACTAATGTAAGCCACTTCGGAAGGGTTTAGCTTCCTAGAGCAAAGGAACAATGTATAACCAGAGCTTATTATGGAAGGAATATAACAAGATAGTTATGTTTATGACTTAGAATAGTATGAGCTTCAAGAGTATGAGAAAATATTCAAACTAACTACTAGGTAAACTAGACAGTTGAATCACAGAGAGGTGCAATACCGGTAGAGACAGGATGTTTATATAGACCTCATTCTTGGTGTCCTTGTTGCCTTGCTCACTGTGATCATTTCAATCATTCTTGAGCAGAATGATCACTTCCACCAATCAGCGACACCCTGGCCATCAACCATTGGTTGATGCGCTCATTCTGCTCATTATTGAGCAGAATGATCACAATCATTCCCACGTGACTGTTCACGTGTTACCTCGTAACAGAGGCCTTGCTTGTTGTATTTCTTGCTCAATTTGGCTATTAACTTGATCCTCATAGACTAAACTAATACCTTGTGCTTTTATTAAGGTACCTTCCTTTTGAATCCTCCGTGTTTGACGCTTCTTTTGAGCAGAAAGTGCTTGGTTTGCTGCCTTAAGATCAGCAACATGTGCCTTCACCAATGTAGCATAATTAGCTACTGATTGAGCACCCTTTGCAAGGCGATCCAGCGACTCAATTATTGAGGTTGGTGAGCTATTCTGATAGCGCTGAATACGATTTTGGATTAGCTCTGTTTGGAGACCCAGTTCTACTGCAATGCTTGGTGTTTTTGATTGCCATGTAGTATAATTGATTATTTGTAAGGGGTGAATGTAAGCGTGATATCAGGATGGGGAGCAATGAGTATGGATTCGTGTCAAGACTGACGACTAAGGAGTAAAACTAAGGTGGGCACTGTGCGTAGCTTAAATACTGCTATCCCTTGGAGCATGTGACCCGCGGCCTGAGCGTAGCTGTACCGTGCGCATGTTCCCACTCAGTTCCTCACAACTTGCTTGGTGTTTTTGATTGCCATGTAGTATAATTGATTATTGGTGGTGTTGGTGTACGCAATCGGATATCTAGCTTTAATAGTACTGCCTCTGGGTTGAATGGCATAAGTCCTGCACCTCTGAAGCCTGCTTGGATGTTCTCTGATCGCAATGCTTGAAAATATGCTTGTTTGAAAGCTGGTAGGAAGTCAAGTTTTGAAATGTGGTGGATATGGCATTTCACTATTTGTTGGATCTGATCACCATACGCCTTTTTCAATGGTCCAAAACAACCTGCATCAAGTGGTTGTAAAAGATGAGATGAGTGTGGAGGCATATAAAGGGTAATAATCCTTTGCTCTTTACAATAAAGCTTAAACTGGAGTGATTCATGGCTTTCATGGCTATTAAGGATGAGCAAGCAATAGGTGCCTTAAGTTCGACCTTTTGTATGTCGATCAAAGTGCTGCAGCCAATCCAATCCAATATCATTTGTTGTCCATCTATTCTCACTAAGAGAGATCACCCAATTATTGGGTATGTCTTCCTCATACCAGGCTGATTGGTGATAGGCTCCTGCAAAGATGATAAACGGTGGTAGAACCCATCCAAGAGCACTTCCTGATGCAATCATAGTGACCCATTCACGATCACCTGGTTGAATAGCCTTTGGACTATGTCGTCGCTCAGATCTAGTAACCACTTTAGAAGTTGAGATAACACCTATTTGGAACGCAGTTTCATCAAAGTTATAGATGTCATGATCAACAATACCATACTTGCTTATCGTATCTTGTATAAGCTTGAACTAAGTACTGGTGATCATAGGATCTTCACATAATGCTCTCTTATAACTGTATTTTTGTTTGAATAGCATTTTAAGTTTAGGAGTCCTTTGTATGAAGTTATAGGGCCATAGCTTGCCAACCCTGGCCACCACCACGAGATGCAAGCAGATGATTAGCCATAGCAGCTACCTCTTGGAGGCCAGGTCCAAATCCTCGCGAATCCAGGTCAATTAGATGCTGAGTAAGAGTCTCCTCTTTATTGAAGGTAAGCTTCTTTGAGTTAGCTATACAATCGCGTCGAGATGGTGTACCAGCAACGCGTCGCGCAAGCGTCTTTCTAGGTACACCATAGATCTTTGCAGCTTGTGTGACTGACCGAACTTGGCCTCTTTCGATTGCTGATTTCGCTAGTAATAATTGACCTTCATTATAAGATAATTGCTGTAGTTTTGATTGCTGCATGAGTGTTGAAAGATAATTGACGCGTTATGGTGGGGCAAACGGGTTGATGTTCCCTTCTGATCATTTGCAGCGATGGAAGGGGAAAAACGAATGTGACCTCGTCTGGTATTCTTTGATGTGGTGAATTAAAAAGGTGAGAGTGCTCAGGAACATTGTGATTTTGTTTAGTTAAGCATGGCTGAACTCCTGAGTAACTTAGATTATAGTTTAAGAAGGTGCGGAGCCCGTGTAGGGAATGGTGTAGAGATTTAAAACGTTCTCCTTTTTAATTATTCAAATTGATGAGTGGAGTTTGACGCTTTCTTAGATGTGGAAGACAATACATATTGGAAGAGATGGTGCGGAGTACGGAGGAACAGAAATAGACTTAGTGGGGCATTATCTTTTTTGGCGGAACCCACCCCTGCATCTCCGCGCTGCCTTGCGCTTGTGGACAAGGTGGCAGTAATATTCAACGTCTCCTGAGGGACCGTTTTGAAGTTGCTCCACCTTCTGCAAAAACGTTACGCACTTCTTTCTTTCTTTTCATTCTCCTCCTGCTTCGTCATCGGTGTTTTCTTTGATCTCTTTGTCTCTCCTCCTTCTTTGCGAACGCCGCATTTGATTCTCGTGTGTGTGCTAAGCAACGGAGTAGATAGAGATTACAACATCAGGCTCAATCGTGAGCCCAAACAGGTTCATTCGCTTCGGTTTCTCGATTGTTGGCCATTTTCACTTTTGCTCCTCTACAAATGGCATCTTTGTACTCGACCGGTGCCGATACTCGGGCAGCGGATCTACGGAAGAGAAACACGACGCAGCTCGCATCGCCAACAACGCTTTCTGACCAAAGCGTGGCAGATGAGAGAAAGGAAAAGGTAAGGCCTGATAGATGACGCAGCATTGAGACAACTCAATCGACTGACATGTGAGAAAAGAAGCAATCGATTCTCGACCTCGTAGCTGAATGGGAGTGGCTGTATGCGCCAGTATTATTTACTTTGCTTGCCTTCTTTACTCGGAACTACAAAATCGGTCTGTCGCCTATTGTTACTTGGGATGAGGCACAGTATGCATGCAAAATGGCGGCTAAAGGTTGTGGCTAATGTAAATTTCACAGTTTCGGCAAATTTGGCTCCCACTACCTCAAGCGCGAGTTTTACTTCGATGTTCATCCGCCTCTCGGTAAAATGCTCGTTGGGCTGTCTGGCTACATCGCTGGCTACAATGGCTCGTTTGAATTCAAATCTGGCGACAGATACCCTGAAGAAGTCAACTACACCGCGATGCGTGTGTTTAACTCGACCTTTGGCGCTCTGTGTGTTCCTCTGGCATACTACACAGCGAAAGAGCTCAACTTCCGCAAGCTGACGGTGTGGCTTATTACCCTCATGGTTCTGTGCGAGAACTCGTACACGACGATAAGCAGGTTCATCTTGCTAGATTCCATGCTTCTCTTTTTCACCTTTACAACAGTGTACTGCTGGGCAAAGTTTCACTCATATCGTAAGGATCCATTCACGCCAGAATGGGGTCTTTGGCTAATGCTTACGGGTGTGTCGATTGGCTGCGTATGCAGCGTCAAGTGGGTCGGGTTTTTTGTTACTGCGCTTGTTGGTCTGTATACAATTGAGGACTTGTGGAACAAATTCGGCGACGTTGAGATGCCCAAGCTAGATCTTGCTCTGCACCTGGCTTTCCGTGTTTTCGGTCTCATCGTTCTTCCGCTGATGGTGTATATGTTTTCTTTCTATCTGCACTTTCTCATCCTTGAGAACAGCGGTCCAGGGGATGCACAAATGTCCTCCCTTTTTCAGGCCAATTTGCGGGGTACTGATGTCGGCAAGAACTCGCCACTTGAGGTTGCCATTGGTTCTCGTGTTACGTTGAAGAACATGGGTTATGGTGGAGGTTTGCTTCACTCGCACGTTCAAACGTATCCAGAAGGATCTGGCCAACAACAAGTCACCTGCTATCACCACAAAGATGCCAACAATGACTGGTTCTTCTACCCAAATCGACACGAGGGTGACTTCAACCCGAATGACCCCCCTAGGATGGTCAAGAACGGCGACATCATTCGCTTGATTCATGCTCAAACTGGCCGTAACCTTCACTCGCATACGGTAGCTGCTCCGGTGACTAAGAGCGACTGGGAGGTTTCCTGCTATGGCAACACCACTATTGGTGACACTAAGGATCACTGGCAGGTCGAAATTGTCGATGATGCCGCATACTCAGACAAGTCAAAGCTTCGAACTCTCACAACTGCCGTTCGATTCAGACATGTTGACCTTGGATGCTATCTCCGTGCTGGCAATGTCAACTTGCCTCAATGGGGGTTCAAGCAGATTGAAGTTACTTGTGTGAAGGAGAATAAGCCACGCGACAAGCACACCCACTGGAATGTTGAAAGCCACTGGAACGAAAAACGTAGGTCAAACCTATCCTTTTTTTTAATCATGTCCTTACCTTATTCTCCAGTTCCCGCCGCAGATGCTGGTGCGTACAAGTCGCCCTTCTTGAGAGACTTTATCCATCTCAACGTGGCCATGATGACCTCGAACAATGCTCTTGTTCCTGATCCAGACAAGCAAGACGACCTCGCCTCATCGTTCTGGCAGTGGCCAATTCTTCACGTGGGCTTGCGTATGTGTTCGTGGGATGACAATACCGTAAAATACTTCCTCCTAGGCAATCCATTCGTGTACTGGGCCTCAACCGCCTCTCTTGTAATCTTCACCATCATGGTCTTTTGGTACGCGATTCGGTGGCAGCGTGGTTATGAGGACCTGAAACCTACGGATCTGGATCACATCCACTATTCAGGCCTCTATCCAGTGGCTGGCTGGTTTCTCCATTACTTGCCATTCATCATCATGGGACGTGTGACGTACGTGCACCACTATTACCCTGCACTGTGGTTTGCCATCTTGACACTTGGCTTTGTCATAGATTGGTCAACATCGAGGTTGAAGAAAGAATTCCAGATTGGCCTTTATATTGTCTTGTATGCGATCATCGTTGGTCTTTACTGGTTGTTCAGGGCAATAAGTTTCGGTATGGAGGGTAGCAACCAGAAGTGGAAGCACTTGAAATGGTTCGATAGCTGGAGAATCAGTGACTGAGCCGCAATTCGTGGCTGGAGACATATCTTAGTAGTCCTCTCATTCGGACAGTGTCTTCTTCATATCATGAGGAGAATGCAGTCTATACCGGAGACTAATTTTTATTTTGGTAGCTTGATTTGGTATTTTGACCTTGTCAAGTGATATGCTGAAGGGCCGGAATTTGGCGTTTCTATTGGAAATAAAGAAAAATAGCTTCTATTATGCTGCGAAGTTTGAAAAACATAGCTCTGTTTGATTTCGAGCGAAACTTAGTTGCGGAGAAATCAAGACGGAAGACATATCCCGGTTTGCTTTCGCGTCCATCCGATGCAAGACCGGTCATTCTAAACTTGCCAGAAACTCGCTTCTAGTATCACGCAGCTGAGAATTGAAAATTGGAGTACTTGCCGGCTGCTGGTTGACACGTTGTATCACCGGCTGGATCATTTAGGGGGTAAAACCCACATCTTTGATAATCTAGCTTTAAGGATATTGCATTACATACTAAGACTTTTACTTTTCATCGGGATGAACCGGCGGCAACTCACTTTGAAATCTCAAAAACACCAAAAGACACCAAAAAAACCAGAAATACGCAAGCCTATCCAGCGATTTATGAGCAATATTCTCTGGCCTATGATGCTAACATTTCTAAGTTCATGTATAGCCTTGGGCCTATGGCGTCCCGATGGGACGACAACGTGAATTCTGCAATATCATCACAAACGAGCCTTTTGGGTTTGATGCAAGAACCCCCAAATGTGAGGTGACCTGCTACACTTGGGTTTACAATCTGTACGAGTTATCATATCTTGCAGCGGAGTACGCCATTCTACCAGACCAAATCCGCTTTAGGCTGGAGAGATCGATACTTTGTAGTACCTGTTTATCGATACGCATAGTAAATCAGTGGAGAGATCACGGAGTACAGGCGAGCATAATCCTGTGTCGTGCCAGGTCGTCCATTCTTCCCAAATCGCTCATCTCTTTCTTGGAGAGAAAAATGTACCGAGTTTGGGAGGGAAACCCTCACTTCTGGAGACGCGTTTCGCAGGCATAGTCTGAAGAAGCAAGCGTTTTGTCCCTCACAAAGACCTTTCGCGGGATACGCCCTGGAACCTTCATAGCGAGTTCGGAGCTTGAAATCCACGGCAATTTTGCGAACGGGTTGATTGTGCAACAGGACGCTCGGACGACTTTTCTCGCAGTGCTCATTCTGAAATGGTTGGGTATGCGAGTGATTGAGCGACGTAGGTTGGGGAATTGATGGCCGTATTGGGAGGAATAGCATCTCAGGTGTGTCTGGGATTCTAGCGAGCTGCGAATTGCAGAAGAGATCCATGAAGGTGCGGAATCGGTAGGACTAACCTTAACCCTTTCCGTGTGGCGTTCATGAAGGGTTCGTTGAGATACTGCAGAACAAGTCCTGGAAGTTCGCTTCTGCTCTTTGCCACAAGACAATGGCTAGGACAGTGGTAAGAGTCTTCCCTTTCGTTCCTTCTATGCAGTCTCGGCATTTCAGCGCTTTGGTACATTCTGCACATCTCAGCACAAGGAATCAACCAGCGAGAGCACGGAAAGAAGTAATCACAAAAATCTGCAGGCGAATCTCGGCGGCTCTGCAAGAAGATTGACGTTCTGGCCACGACTTGGCATATTTCTGCATTACTATGCACCATCTCGAGGGTGTGCTTTAAGCTGCAGGTCGGTTGCATCTGACGCGGATGAAGATGTGCTTGGTGCAAAGCAGAAGTGGTTCATGTACTAGGATCAGGACATGGCGCGGTCCACAAGCCGGGCCGACAGCATGCCATATGCAGAGTTCCATTAGTCAGTGGATGGCGTGGCCGCACAACTATCACGGCAGGAAAGTCTACGGTACAAATGGGCTGTGGTTTTCAGGACATTGAGCCGGGCTCAAAACTTTTCTTACGAGCCAAAGAGCGGAGCTAGAGAGCGTCTGGATGACTGGACGTGCTAGGACGGTTTGTAGCAGAGAATCTGGGCCTGGAAAGTTGGGAATGAGCGAGTGAATTCGCAAGGACAAGTATCGCGACTTGCAAGGGCAAGGATACGGCTGAGCCGCTGATAGACGGGTGGGAAGAGAGGATTGTCAAAATTGCGAGGCAAGGACCCTTGGCCGATGATGAGAAGGACGAGGTGGGATGATGGCCTGGCCGCCGCGAAGATGACATGCGGCGACCATGCGGCTGATCAAGATGAGGGCGCGCCTGGATGTGAGAGCGAACGGGTGGACGAAGAACAGGAGTGCGCGGGACGACGGTCACGCTGGAGCGGGATTCTCATCAGCGCAAAGTCGCAGGCCGTCCAGCAAGAGGCCCAGGACGACCGTGAAGGACGTTGACGTCCCGAGTTGCCTGTGACTTTTAGAGCGCGTGGTACGTGCTGGCCAGTGGAGGATCCGGCTGAGCACGCTGATTGGCTCCAGCTTCTCCGCACGAGAGACTCTGACTTTCCACCTGGACTTGCTGCGGACGGGCCCGTATTACCACCATCATCTCTGCACCACCACCACCTCCGCCGCCGTTCGCCCTCTCGAGCCTCTTTCGAGATCGCGAGGACTCATTCCAGGACCCCCCCAGCCACTAGCGATGGACGAGTAGTTATCTCCAGCAAGCCACTCCGCAAGCTTTCGCCCCTTCGGTGTCCACCTCCGCACCGAAACCCTCCCGTGCTGTTCTTTCTCGGCCGCGCCTACGCGGCAGCAACCACAACGAATCAAGTGCTACAGCCGCGTAGGCGACTTTGCTGCCGCTGCCATCGTTTCAGCCGGCTGGCAAGTTCTACCTCAGCCCTTGCTACCGACAATGTTCAACTCAAACTTTGCTTCACCGCCTGATCTGCCGAGTCCGAACGCGAATATGTATGATGTGGACGGACTGGACGAGTCATCTTTTGATCTGGTCGATGGCGCCAATCCAACATTTGACCCAAATGACTTCCTGAACTCCGACCTTATGTCGTCTCCCGCACCGACCACAGCGCAGTTGAATTTCGGATCTCCAGTCATCTTTCAGAACAAGGCCGCGCAAAGCCCTTTGCCCCAATTTCACCCCAGGTCCGTGGTGTCCTCCGCCTCGCCTGAGAGTTCTACACAGGACTCATCTTCGGATTCCTCCGGCCGAAGGAAGCGCAAGAGCCCTTCGGAGTCCTCGCCTGGTGCCGTGTTTGGATCGTACCACTCGCAGAACGAGAATTCATGGTCTGATCAGGGACTGGAGATGGCAAGGGGAAAAAGGAGGCCCAAGCATGATTCCCCGGTCATGAAGCAGGAGGACGCGAGTATGGGAATGCTGAACAATTCAATGACCCAGTCGTTCAACATTAAAAGCGCTGCCAACAGTCCCCCCGCTGTTCCAGGTGCTCCTGCGTCGAAGACTTGGAGTATCGGTACGCCAAGGTCTGCGGGCGAACAAGATCTTTCAGCCATGCCTTACAGGACCCGATCGCCGGCTACGTTTCACTTCGGCATCGGCAGTCGCGATACCACTCCCCCTTCAGCTATGCCATTCGATTCGACACATAACACACCTTATATGATGATGAGAGATTCGCCAGATACAGATCCACTGTCTTTCCCAGGTCGTACTCCGCTTGGCAGCATGATGGATGGTTTCACCATGTTCAGCCCTGCACCTGCCATTCAAACCACTACAAATATGGGCACTGTTCGGCCTGGTGATATAGGCCGACAACAGATTAGGCTCCACGTGTCACCACTCGGTCAAAAATCACGAGTAGAGACGCAGATTCCTATAAAGCTAACCCTTGACCCATTACCAGCCCACGTCAAGAAGATGCACCTGCCAACCGAGACAATCGCCAAAGCCAAATTTCTTGCTAAAGAGACTCGCCCTTCACATGATACACTTGAGCTTTCCGCAATGCTTGTTTGCACAAGTGCCATGGAGAAACCGGAACACAAAGCTCATGCCTTGCAGATAGCTCGTGAAGGCTCGCATCTCAAGCGGGGCGTTAATCCACGACGATCTTCGACCGGCGACACAAAGAAAGGCGGTGAGCTAGATCTAAGCGATCCTGACTCACCAATGAATGGTGGCCCGGTAAGAATATGTGATAATTGCGTATCTCGTGAGCGGAAGCGAGCTGGTCGTAAGAAAGCGAAGAAGCAAGAAGACGAAGAACGATGGTATGAGTATGAGCACGATCGCATTATCATGTTCAATACAACCGAATATGTTGAGTTCCATACTCCCACGCCAGCGAAAGAGCCTCAATACGCCGAGAACGTCAGTTTCTCTCCAGAGGCGAAGCAAATTGATGCACCTATGCGCATAGTTTGCTATTGTAGACATCAACAAGAAAAGATTGGTTTCCAGTAAGTTTTGTGGACCTAGTTTTCGTAACATCCCGCTGAAGGATTTTCTAGGGTTATTTTCACGATAAAGGACTTTCAAGGACGCATTGTGGCCCAAGTGATGACGCAATCCATACTTATAACTGACGACCATAAAACACATACGCACGGCGTCTCCAGCACACCTGGCCTGGCTGTCGTAGATAGTGCAAACGTGAGCATACCTAGTTTCATACCAGGAGGGGCAGTGCAACCTCACGGCTTGCCAGGAAGAGCCTATCATTCAAGCACGAATTTGGCTGGCCTAAGCAGCCAAAGTTTCTTCAACAATATCGGAAATGCGCTCGCACAAGGTCAAAGATCGGCGACATCAATGACACCACGAAATCTGTCAAGGCCAGCATCTCCATCAGGCCACACTGGACCAAAAAAGAAGAGGAAGGGCTCAAGCGGCCAGCACAAGATTCCTGCAGATCTCATGATGACTCGTTCTGATCATGAACCAATAACATCGACTCCTACCGCAACATCCACGTCTCAAGTAATGGCCTCGCACGTTTCTCCAGAAAGTGGAAATTTTGGTTTCGACACCAGCATGTCCTTCGGCGGGTTGACACAACAGAATACATTCAACACAACTCCGCCAACGCCCGATCCTTCCATTCCTCAAACAGTCAACCACGAGAAAGGAGACAACTATTTCTTCTCGGCACCAAATTCTGCGCATCCCAGCCGAGCGCCAAGTCCGACATCCTTTGCTCGACAGCAGATTGGCATGTATTCGAATGCAGTAGCTGCAAAGCCAAATGCCTTCAGTGGAATACAGTTTGGTGCAAATGAGTCACACCCCCCCCCAACCATGTATAAAATTCGGCCTGATAGGGGCCCAACAAGCGGCAACATTGAAGTTGTGATTCTTGGCAAAAACTTCAACCGCAATCTCGAGGTCATGTTCGGAGACAACATCGCTACAGCTACAACATTCTGGAACTCGGATACGCTTGTTTGCTTATTGCCACCTGCTGTGAACGCTGGGGCTGTGCCGGTTACCTTTGTGACAACTGACCAGCGAAGTTTCCTTCCGCCGAGCTCATCCACGCTCATGTTCACATATGTCAACGACGGCCAGCAATCTCTTTTCGAGCTTGCCATACGGCTTCAATGTCAGGCGCAGACCGGTCAAGGTAGTGATCATCTACAATACGCGCAGAATCTAATCAATGCGTTGTCGCCCGGAAACAATTTCACTGGAGGACAGGCCGGTGGCTTTAACGCCAACATGTTGAGTACGGGCAACGCAGAGGATTTAATGTTATCAATTATCAACAAAGTCGATTTGATCGATAGTCCGTTCAAACCGTACTACGAACATAGGACCGACAGAGGCTCAACAATGCTGGCTGTTGCTTGCAGACTTGGCTACGAGAGGCTTGTTGCAGCACTCCTCGCGCGTGGAGCAGATCCGGACGCTGCCGATGTTGGAGGCTTCACGCCTTTGATGCTGGCTGCGCTGTGCGGCCACGTTTCCATTGTTCGAAGGCTAATTTTGCGTGGGGCTGATCCAGGCTTGCGGAACTTGCGCGGTATGACAGCCGCAGAACTGGCGCCCACACCGGAGGTCAGACAGTATGTGCGCCATCGTCGCCATTACAGATCTGTTAGCGCAGGCAGTCTGTTCGTTCGCAGCAGAGCAAACAGTGCGACATCAACCCGATCTTTGTGGGGCCCACCTTCCTCCAGTGCTAGCAGTACAATGTATTCAACTGAAGATGAGTCGGCTCTGGAAAGTGGAAATGAGGACGAGAACGATCATATAGTGCATGTGTCTTTATCAGCTCTTGCTTCGCGACGTCAAAGCCTCGCTGCTTTGCAATCTCGTCGAGGAAGTGAGATCTCGCGAACAGGCGCTGATACCATTCTTTCGACACCTGCGGCAGTTCCAAGCGAAAATGCACCAGCGAATACGATTTCGATGCTAACAGCGCTCCGCGATCAGATGACGGCACAGATCAATGCTTTGCAGCAGAATTTGACGTCGATGCAGCTCTCTGATTTATTGCAGGAGCAAGACTTGAGAGCCTTTGGCCGCAGGATAAGCACATGGGGACCTATGATGCGACGTGTCCCTTCGCCAAGATCTGCTTCGCCAGCATCTTCAGAGCCGCCGCCGCCATATCATGAAGCATGCCCTGATAGTGCTGACCAGGACTTTGATACGAAGCCTCCTGACGTGCTCGTCGCTGAATCGAGTCATTCTGCATTCACTGCAACACTTCTGCCACCATCATCCGCACATGACTCAACACTGCGACAGCGAGCAGCTGCAGAAAGCACAGCTGGTAAAGTTACAATCGGAAAGACAAGTCCGACGGGCGTGGAAGCTGCAGAACTACGAAGAATTCGCTTGGAGAGATTGACTCCAGCAAAATACGACAAAAATTTGTGGTCAATCTGGGTACGTTTTTTTCAAAGCATTTTGCTTGTTTTGCTCCCAGCGCTGAAAATTAACACATTTATGCAGTTCCCACTACTCATTATTCTCGTGACATGGTATTTTTCCGGCTTGCAAGCTCCGCCCTTCGTGTCGTGGCTGAAGTCACTCAACGTAACTGTCACTGAGTCGTTCGGTAAGGCATTCCCTGCGTTATAAAATGTTCCTGACCAAGTAGGTTTTGCTGCAGTGGAACAATGAAATTCATCGTCCGGGATTATGTCTATTCGCTATTTCGCTATTTGGTTCTTGCTGTATTTACCACCTTAACAGTTGAAGTCTACATATATGGTTATCCCCATAGCATGGCGTTCTTGTATCATGAATTGGATGATGGCATCTATAATATGATATGGATGGCATCGGGATGGAGTTTAGTATTAATAGGTATGGCTCCGGAAGAGAAAAGGTAAAAGGTGGCTTTGAAGTGACCTGGAAGAACTTGGGTTCTGTGTTGTGGATAATATAAGTCTCCTGACATTCGTTCAATCTATTTAATGTTTCAACGTTTTAGCAAAGCATGGCACGCAGAAAATGGTTTGTTCACGTCAAAATTGGTATTTTTTTTATCGTTACTGATGTTATGGATTCATCAGGTAGATTATTCTTGCAATATTGGGAATGAGCAGGAGAATCTTCGACACATAACTTACTTGGTTTTTGTATGTTTGAAAAATACCGTTGTTGGAAAAAAGACTGGTATCCTCAACGATAGGAATTCTTGTGCAGCAAATCATGCATAAGAATCGCCCTTGGTATGAAATTTTTACGTAAGGAAATAGCTAAATCTTGGAGGCAGGCTTCGACCTGTTCTCGAAGGAACAAATTTCCAGCAAAACAGTAAAATTGTGTGAATATTGATGATTGTCCTGCAAAGAGATAGTCAGGGAGACTTCCAATATGTGGGAAACACCAATTGTCCAGCCACGCTTCGACACAGGGCCTCTGTTGATGTTCGTCAACGAAGAGCTGAGATTTCTCTACGGGCATGAAGCCACTAAGAACAAGTATCGTCTAAGGCCAAAAAGAAGAAAAAAAAAGCTGTCAGAAGAGCACGTTGAAAGATTGGACTCAACTCGAATAATTGGCGGCTCTGAGGGGTCGGTAGCTTTGTCCTATGTAATCCCAAGGGCAAAGTAGTTTCAATCGAGAGCATTAGACTCTACCATCAATTACGAAGCTTCCACGGCGAAGACCAAATAGTTTTTGTATCGACAATTGATCTTCATCGTCCACTCGCAGTTATCCTAGCCACCGTGTAGTTAGAGGACCGTCAGTTCCCTCAGAAGATCTCTGTGCTTCTTGTCGTCCTATTACTTCCTTTAGATGTGCTCACGTCGATATCAGGTTTCGAAATGGGAATGAGAGTTCGTCACGGAACCGTGGCTGGCAAACCCCGATTCACAGATGTCAGCAGCAACAATGATCTCGTTTTACTTTGTACTCTCCGAATACAAACGATCGAGCTGGGCACTTACGTCCAGGCTAAGTCAAATGGAATCTGAAGAAACTGACCCCAATATGATTAACCTATGCAATGAAACATGGGAATTTGATTTCAAGGGATATCACGAAATTGCATACGACGGGAATGTCACAAACCTCATGAACGACACATGCGTGACACCAAAACGCTTAGAAAATAACCGCTCTCAAAGAAGTATCAGTCCATTGATTCAAAGTCAGGCATAGAATGCAAGGCATAAAATGGGAACCGTAGCCCTTCCTGAACTGTGTTCATGTGATTCTCACTTCTACCTGTGTTTCCACTGAGCTAAAACAGCAACGGCCGTCACACTTGTTAGGGGATATAGAGTTCTCTATTTGGGACGCAGCTGGTGCTATTCTCCCACTCCAATATACTGGATACGTTTGTCCCGTTTCACAAAAACCACATCCACGACTGCTCAAGGCGTCCAACAAAATCAAACATGGCACATCACACGTACAAAGCACTTCTGTACTTGTGTGCATTAAGCATGTATTCATAATCCCCAATTCTTTCCCCAACACCTCGCCAATTCAAATAAAAAAGAAAAAAATCACACATAAGAGCAAAGCGAGCATTGATGTCTCCCTTGCTAAGAAAAGAATTGTTTTCAAGTCACATTACCATCTTTTCCACCCGGATTCGGGGCTCGTATCCCAATTCCTCGAGCATGATCCACTCCTTCACCAGTTGGGCACCGAAGCGGACTGCCTGCAGCGGACTCGTGTCTACACTAACGGGAAGCCAGTAGCGGCCCCGGAGTTGTACTTCTCCGGCCTTTTTCTCACTGAGGAGTGTCTCTGGCGTGGAATCACGGGGCTCAGTTGCACGACTAGCCCAAGTGTCAGGGAATCCATGTGTAATCTCCTCAACGGGCAACTTGGATGCAGCCTCGCGTGCGCAATCCGTCATGGCGCGAAATGCCTCGACCATTATCTTAGTATTCTCCATCGTTGGGTTGTTTGCCGCACTCCCCCCCGGCTCAAGGATGGCTGACTGTGGTGAATCTGCAGCCAACGGCGCGTTGGCGGCACGGGCGAGTCTGTCTGCGGCTACGGTTGATATGCGTGCGTTAATCGCAACCCCAAGGTAACTGTGTAGGCCATCGAGAGGCTTATAGTGTGCAACAAAACTGCGCATATGCCTGAATAAGGGAAGGAGGGTACGCCATGAAGTCTCGATCTCTGCGGCGCGACCTTCTAGCTTGCGACGGGCGTCACCAATTGAATAAGCCAGCATATACGCGAGGATGCATTCGATTCCAAGAAGGGCCATGCGCTTGCGCTCTGCTTCAGTCTGCTGTTCTCTGTCCTTACGCTTGGAGGCCAGGTCTTGATTATCGTGTTTGAGCTGGCGACCAAGCGCATTGAAGCGCTGAGACTCCGCGGCCAAAGCCCTCAGCTCGGCGGCTCTGAGGGCCGGTGTAGGAGCTGATGTCGGGCCTTTGGACCTGGTTGTCGAGGCAGCGGGAGTGGTATGATTCTGTTTGCTACCTGGGGTGGGGACAGAAGTATCTTGCGACACAGAACGAGCCATAGCGGAGGCTTTGAGGTGAATCTGGCGTGGCGTCACTACAATAGACTCTTTTATCGAACCAGAAGGAGCCCCAGAAGCTATAGGCGTTCGAGGGTTCTTTTCCTTTTCTTGATCCAATGCCGCTGCTGCCGTGTGTTTGTTCGATGAGACCGGTTCTGAGTCATCAAAAGACTTTGGAAGCTTCTCTGGAGTCTTTGCCTTCCCTTGTACTGCTCCAAGATGTAACCGATCCCTTTCCTTGGCCAATATATCCCTCCTTGGCCGCTGGATGGGTGACATTGCGTCACTCGTTGCTTTCGACCCTAAATTATCTCCGCCTGCACGCTGCAGCATAACTGACCTTGCCGTGGCGCGTTCCTTGCCAGTATTTGGCAGAAAATCCTCGTCCAGGGGGAATTTATTACGATCTGGACGTGGCGACATGCGCAACAGCTGACGGATTTGCCATGCCACTTTCTTGCTGTATTTCAAACGCGCCATCATTTTTGGTTGCGTCGGTGGCTTCTCTGACACTTCGTCTTCACCAGTTTCGCTATCGGACTGTTCCATGCTGGCTTTTGAAATCCCGCCCTTGGCTTTCTCCGGAGGCGTGAGACCCGACGATTTCGATTTTGAGGCTGAATTCGTCGCAGATCTTCCCGAAGTTCTTGTTGTCTTGCTTGCTGGGGATGATACTGGGGAGTCTGGTTTTCCCAGTTCTTTCTCCTTTTGCAACTGTGCTTCAATCTTAGGTGGCAATGTGGGCGAGAGCATGTCTGGTAGATCCCACCGATTCGAAGTATTCTGTTTCTGCGTTGAAGATTTCTCAAACACATATTCGAAAGGATTTGTAGGAGACAATAATGCGGGCAAGCCATGTGGAGCTCCGTTCGGGTAGTCGATGGGTGACGGTCGTAGTGAGGGAGAGTGCGATTGCTTGATTGACGGAGATGACAGGCGAGGCTTCTTCATTGAGGGGATTTTCTCGGCTGCATGTTTCTCAAGATCTGCATCGCGAGACCTGATGTTTCCGTCAGTCCGTGTCTGATATATTGCACACAAGGCGCTGTTGAATCACCGTAGGTGTGGCAACATTTAAGCGATTATTGTAGCATTCAAAAATGAACCAAAGAAGCGATTGTGACATGCAGCTGTAACGGTCCATTCGCCTTTGACTATCGTACCTTTTCAATCCAGATCCTTGCTGCTCTTCCTTCTGAATCTTGTGCTCTGTCTTTACGCCGTTCATTCTCCCGTCTTCGCGAGGATTCATCCGCACAACAGGCCTCTCTTTCTCTGGGCTCATGTGTTTCTGATTAACCTTTCCCTCAGCAAGCTTGCTCTTATAAGCACTGAATGAGATCTTCTTCTTATTTCCTGAACCTGCAACGGGCATTCCCAGCGTTGTCGCCGTTTCGTTTTTAATTACTTCCTTTTTGCTCGTATTGTTTAACAACTTCTGCTGATGCTGCTGTGCAGCCTGTAGTCGCTCCCGCTCCTCGTCAATATGTGATCGCACAACAAAGCAGCTCTGCCCCGGCTCACGGTACACATACGTCATGTACTGGAGTCCTTCCTCGTGTAAGTAAAAGGGTGTGTTCCTTGCCCAGCTTTCGGCCTCTTGACGCGTCGGATAGTGGTAGCGGGGCTCGACATTGACAGGCGCAGACAGGAGATAAGGGTACTCAGGAATGGCGGCGGTGATGCGTGCACACGCAGCGTCGACGATAGACTTTGTGGTAGCTGTACAAATATCTTCGGTGGCTTCTTCGCTATCCTCAGGATGATGGTGGCGATGCTCGTGTTGATCTTGAGAGCTGCAACTCATCCTTGGCACACTGGTCTCGCGGCCTCCGTCTGCTTTCTGACTGTTGCAGAGGCTATAACTTTTCTAGTTGTTATCTGTGATAAATCTGATGTGTACATGCCGGCTCGCAGAGGAGCCGTCAAGGATAGCGCCAGCTGTTCAGGTGAGCATGTGGTTATAATCTTTCTCTGGACGTGATGCTTTTGCGCGCGCCACTTGACTCCACTGCCAACACAACAATCCTTCTTTGTTGTAATTAATCCCTCGTTTCGAAAGGTAACTGCGGTGGAAGGAGACAAATTTACCTTTCACCTTCCTGTGCTGAATGTGCGGCGTGCGTGATCGCGAGCTTGCACCGCGCAAAAATAGGTATGCGCCGCTCCGAATGGCAAAAAGCCTCCCTGCTCCGTTGCGATGATGATTTGCCGGTGCAGATATGCGTCAAGGCGCTGGCAAGACTTCCGCTGCAAATGTGGACGGTTGTCTGGCGGGCAGATGCAGGGCTGTTCCGACGACCTTTGCAGAAGTAACCCCCTCCAAGCGTCAGATCTGAGTTCACTTTAGAGTGAACCGTCTTCCCCATCAGCGACACAACCCGTGATGGAAGGCTTTCAGTGTCTTTTTGAACCTCATCAACTCATGACAGATCCGAAAGCAGCCTCATGAGACGATGGAGAGGACGTAGAGGGGCGAATTGTTTTGTATGAGCGTAGGGGCAGATGCACCCTGTTGGGAGTGGTAAGGGGAACACTTAACATGGTTGGCATGATAGGCATGCTGATCAAAAATCCCGTCCGGAGAGGAACGAGCCAGGTGAGTTTCCGGGAGGGAGGCAAAGAAAACACAAATATACCCTCCCTCATCATGCGTTGCAAATGAGCGTTGAGTTGCACTCCCGCCACCTCATTACCGTCTCTATCGGTTGTCCACCGCACAGGCTAAGCGACTTAAAACATAAGTTAACGTAAAGAAGACTTATATGGGACACGACCGGCTTGACCGGCGTTTGATATGCATCACGTACAGACTCGCGGTAAATAGGGTAATCAATCGAGGTGTCACGAAAGCATGGCTTTCGATTTACTTTCTCCTTCTTACGTATCGACATCGACACATCCATGGCCACGAGCTAACGAACGACTCCGCATCCAAACACAATCTTTTCTTTACTCTTTATATCTTTTGTTCAAGATCTTAAGGCTACTGATTTTCTCATTACAACGGTCCTGGTCATAATATCGGCAGTGAGATCCGAACATATTTGTAACGACATCTAGACGAACACATCTATCTATATTCATCCTCAGTTGGCACAGCCTGTGTAAAGGGCTCATTGATATCATTCTCGCCCTTCGACTCAGGCAGAGGCAAAGTCCATGTATGTAAGTTTGACATGTCAAGAATCAGCTAAACCCCGGGAAGATCTACACGAGATTCTTCTCAAATGAAATTCCCAAAGCACGTATCGCCTTTTCCAATTGCAAATCTGTAGGATCCATGCTTTAAATTATTACAAAAACGATCTTACTAGCCACGACTATGCACAGTCAGCATCTGCGGCCGGGGTCGATCAAGCTGCTCCACCACCTTCAAAGATTATCTACTATCCAACCCAAAGCCATCTGCAGCTGCATTGGCATCCGTCAATCGTAGGCATTGGAACCTATACCGCTCCGTTTGGCCACAACATTGAATGCTTCTGTGGCGAAATCTCGTATTTCTGGGACACGTGCTGCAAACACAGCATCTGCTATGGTTTTCAAGGTGTGCAATCGTTGTGGGCACTGTTGGTGCTAGGCCACACTCATAATTCGGTTTGATCCTTGATAAATGTACCCAGGCATCTTGTGTTGTGAGAACAGCCGTGGGTTGACGTCCATAACAGTAAGCTGCAACTAAGACCGAATGAGTGCTCATTGGGTTGTCCGTTTGGTTGTGTAATCTGGACGTCTGCAGTCGCTTATTTTGTGTTTCGAATGAACACGTACTCTCTATTGTTGAATCTCGCCGACGAGCTGGACGTCGCGTTATGGCTCATTCATTGTCTCGGCGTCAACCCCAGAGGTAGTAAAATCATTCTTGGGGGCAAATATTAGGTCAAAGTCGCGTTTCTGCTTGTGCTCAGTAGCCTAAGCTTCTACTGGCGCAATGGCTGCCCTGCCGTCCTGCTCAGACGAGACATCGATTACACTCGCTGACTTTTTGTCATCTTCTCTCCCATTTCAGTGGCCACTGGCCAGAATCTAGGTTAAATTTTGAATAATCGTCTCCAAACGCAGAATCAAGATCAAAAATAGAAAGATTCAGCACCTCTGGCGCTGGAGTATCTTGTGCTAGGATCTTGTACATCTTCCTCATGCACTTACACCCTGCCCTATCAAATGCTATATCTTCAAAACTGGTTGAGGCTTACATCATGCGAACTATGCTCTTCCATGACAGATGATCTAATATCATGGTGAGAATGTCACTTGGTAGGTTTCAAGAAGCCTGATGAGTTCTTTCTCTCTCTGGATGGATTGGTTTCTTGCTGCGGAACAGACTCAGACGATGATGGCAGTTGTTGTCTTGCTTATATCTTTCACTTGGTTGTTATTTCGCCGTGCGAGGATATTGACGTGAGGGGGTAATGCTGCCCAAATGGTGTTGACTTTAGCAACGGTACAAGGAAAGCGTGCAAATTTCAATCTTGGACATCTGTGATAATGTGTTCTGCTGTTTGGAGAGTGGTCTATTGGCATTTCTCATGGAGGTCAAGTCCTACTGTAGCATTGCTGTAACTTTTCCGTCTGATACACTAAGTTTCGACAGCTCCGTTCGCAGAGCGCCAATGGGTCAAAATAGCATGATGCGCGTATTTTGGACCTGACGACTTTGTGGTAGCACGCTTTTGCGTAGCTGGGAAAAGCCGAGCACACATAGACGATGAAAAATGCGCATGTGTTAGCTGCAGCAGCAGCATTGAAGCAAGTATACCATGTGGAATTCAAAGAATCAAACTGACATGCAAGCGAGAATTAGTTGATGACGTCCAAGGCACTAGGGGCCTAGATAGAAAACTTGTTATTCGCTTATTATTTTCAGTGTCAGTTCCCAGTATCTGCAAAATTACGACATTCAAGAACTTGCCAAACGCCTACAACAAAAGTCTGTTCTGCAGCGCCTTGATCGAAGACCCCAGCTCTGATGTGAACAACGTAGGTATCTCATCACCGCACCTGCCCGCAAGTACGACGCTGCTGGGTAAAGAATGCTGATCAAGACCACTACTATCCGTTAAAAGGCACCCAGTGTGCATTTCCTCGAATTCTCACATGTGCCGTTCGAGCTCGAGGTCCTGTTCTGGTTGCGGTGTTGGTATGCGCCTAAGACAAGGCCATTGCTCTGTGTTGTCGAGCTGTAAGACCAATGTCGTGTCGATATCGTTGGTCGGCAGGCTTGGATCGAAGCATGCAACATTAAAGTCCAAAGGCGAAGGGGGACCCAAATTGTTATTTAATGGCTGATTAAAGTTGAACAGTGTAGGCAGGTCTTTACTCACTTCCGCTGCTGTGTTATTAGATCCGGAAGTCGTGGGTTTGCGAGAATTTAAGTTAGCATACGAAGGCTTCTCAAAAGCAGTCGTGACGAAATTACTGCTGTGCGCAAACGATTGTCCAACTGTGCTGCCAGTGCCACCACCACCTCTCGAAGCGAGATCACCTCGCAAATATATACTGCGTGAACAGCTCTTACAAAGAAACCATGACCTATTATGATATTGACGTTCCTCAAGATAATCCAGAGAGCTCTCTGCGATATGGCACCTGGAACAGCTTGCGACTTCGCACAACGCATTTTCAAGATGTTTGTTTCGTCCTATGCTAGGCAGATCGCGTAACGTCCTCTTCAAACCCTTGTGACAAATGGAACTGTCTGGATCATTCGCAGATATGCTGTCTTCGACCAGCGGAGATTTAGTCTCGGCCGGGGAAAAGAGGTATCTGGAAGAATGATTAGGAGGCCACAAATCGACCTCCACCTGGTTCGTGGGTGGTACAAGCTTTTTCTGCCATGGAGTCGAAGTCAGATATGCAATGAGAGTTTTGCTCACCCTATCTTGGAGAAGACCAGTGGACTGACCAAGATACACCATATGGTGTGCCAGAAGCCTGATGAGTTCCGTTCCGCGCTCTTCATCGGAATGCGTAATAGACGATGGCTGCGCATGCTGAACTGCAGTCGATTGATCTACGGCCAGAGGGAGCCGTGACAAGTCACCAAGGCTTTCGGCTACATATTTCGACGATATGATGCATCCAAGAAGCAGTAAGAACATGGCGTAGAGTTCATGCTTTCTCAGGCGAGCCAGGGTCATAGGCTTGATATGAGACTCTAGGTGCAAAAGCAATCGGTATCCACAGTGGCGGAGTATTCTGATATCAGTGGAATTTTGAGAATATACGACATTTCCACTGCATGTGTTGAAAATCATGGATGATGTGGAGACAAGCCATTTGAAGACTTGGGCGATTTCAGAACCAATCAGATCGGAGATAATCGACAGCAGTGACGCTGATGACAGAAGTCCTGCCATACTGGCTCTGGAAGCGTCGTGGTCGCGCACAAGCCAGCCAGCCACAAAGGTAGAAAGCTCGTCAATGTTCCATTGAAAAGGTATATCGAATTTTAAATCCAGATCTCCATGGGTAAGGTATTGTAGCACTGGTACACCACCTAGACCGATATCGGGATCAAATCGAGCTTCTGTGATAGTAAGCATAGAACTACCCAGCAAGCTAATGAAAAGGATGAGGTCAAACACACCCAAGCCGTAGATTGTCACGTTCATCAATGAAGGCCTTACGCAATCCATCCAGGCCAGTGAGCAAGAAGCAATTTTGTTCTCTGCAGCGCGCACACATGTTGTGCACGGATTTCCTCGTGAGCACTAATAAGATATGTTGAGTCGAATTTCTTTGAATAAGGGCGTTTGACCTGTCTACGTACGGATTTCTTAAGCAAGTGACATCGAAGACATGCACCAACCTTGCGGACCTCATGTACCTGTTCTCGTCTTTCATTGCTATATGATACTCTCCGGGCGTGGAAGGTTCCACCTAACGTAAAGCATATATAACCATTCGGAGGCGCTCTTTTCCGGGCACAGCGTTTGGTTGTTTTCATGGCTGCTCAAGAACTAGTTGTATGAATGCATTTGAAGAGGCAGGGGGGGAGTACAAGCTTGACCAAAATGAAGGGAGCCCAGGCAACAACAAACCCACAACAATGACGGTTTGTGATATTTAAACATGAGAACAGATGCTCTGGTCAGGCCATGCATGGCTGTGCTGACGGAGGCCTCGGAGATCAAGAGCAAATGCGCCTCACCGCGAGCCGTTTTGGGCCTAGTTCGAGTCTGTGGTTGCTTTCTTGCAAGCTCCAGGGAGCAGGGCGATGTCAGTCCGAGAAGCCATCTTGCGACTTTGACTGGGAAGCCAAGGTAAAACCATAAACATGACCTGACCCGGAACGAATAATTTGGCAACATTATGATGGTGAAGAGACTGCGTAAGGACTCTGATGCCCAGTACACCCATCCAATCATTTGAGTCGCCAAGTCGTGCTGAACCAATCGACGAGCAAAATCAATCGCGCGCTGTAACAAGGACGCACATGAAAACAGAAATGCACCGTAGGGCTAATTTCGTTACCTTTCGTTCAGTTGAAATCCGCAGTTGAACGGAATTTGATCGAGGCATATTGGTTGCTGCTGATCATGTTCGAACGCTTTAAATAAAATTGCTTGTCCTACAGCTACCATTGTTTTCCGGCGAGAAATTGAAGGAAGAGAATCAGACAGTGGCCAACAAGCACTGCTTCGCACGATGAGCGACGAATTGATATTTTTCATGTAATCTCGCCTGATCTTCCCAGCGGAGAAAGTAAATATTGGAATAGCATGTGCAACCTTGAGTGCATGCGGAGAAATTGTTAGCCTCGAGATCTTCAGGATGTGGCCGTCAAAGAAAGACATGGCTTGACATGCACAAGCTGACTATCTTTATGTTTGGAATGGAATGGATGGCAATCGTGTTTGAGTTGACCACTATTGCAAAGTGTAGCCTGCCTGGGCAGATTTGGGAGAAATGGAGCACGTAACTTCGTTGACAAGCGCGGAAGATTCCGGTCATGAACGATGCCGAACGAATGCCGTGGCTCGCTTGTTGTTAGAAAATGTTGCCACAGCCTTGAATCAGCTCGTGTCCGCTCTTAAGAACGGCATTTTCCCCTATCAGCTTACAACTTCATCCTTACATGACAATTGTCTTAGGGTAACGGAGCCGTTGGGCCCGCGTTTGCGTCAGACTGCACTTCTTAACCAACTTAGCGTTCGTTAACTTATCTCCAGCCAATTTACTTAGTCAAGCACAGGGCCTGCTGTGAAAACAATGCGCACATCCTTGGGCTTAAACAACCTCCATGACGCAGTGGACATCTGGTCTGGATCTGGATACTATTACTTAGTGCAGGCTTCAACTCCACGGGCGAGCGTGGGATTCTTGGACGTGGTCGCGCGAGACTTCGCCAAAAGCGGCAAGCAACGACGATGTGCGCAAGACCTTCGTTCTAATTAGTTCTAACAGTGTTGCGATTGGCCAGGCACGATGTTGCAGATCAGCCATGATCTGACTCGCAACTTTCCCCGCCCTGTCGATTGTTAAAACCGCATTGGTTTCCCCGTGCTTTATCTTTTTCTTCATACCTCACCCACGTTGGGTTTCTTGGGCGGTCTTGGTATGAAGCTTGTCAAAAGCTTGTTGTTTTGTTGCATCTGTTCTCACCATTTCAGCCACAAAGTGTCTATTCCGTACACACTACTCTGACTTTCAGCTTATTGCGGTATTGTGAAAGAAAATGGCCTCAGTCGAGGCTAAGCATGTGGATTCTGCGCTCGCGAGCGATGTCGACGTGCTTGCAAAACTTGGCAAAAAACAGGTGTTGAAGCGACGTTTCGGATTCTGGTCTCTGTTTGCCTTCGCTGTCTGCGAGCTTATCACATGGGAAACCGTACTAGCACTGCTGTCCCAAGGATATGACAACGGAGGACCCGCAGGGCTGGTCTATGGCTTCATTATCGCGTGGTCGAGTACCCTGTGTGTATAAATTGGCTTTGTTTGGGTAAATTCGCTGACCGGATGTAAAGATCCGTTTACATTTGCATCTCCGAACTTGCGTCCATGGCTCCAATCGCCTGCGGTCAGTATTTCTGGGTCTACATGCTAGCTCCCAAGCGCTACAAGAAAGCCGCGAGCTACATTATCGGATGGCTCACCTCGCTCGCATGGGTCGCTACGGTAGCAACCGAATCACTGTTTGCAGGAACCATTATCCAAGGAATTCTGGTTTTGAACTATCCAGACTACGGTTACGAACGATGGCAGGGCACGCTCCTGACCTGGGCTGTCATCCTCGTCAATGTTCTCATCAATGTGCTTACTCCTGGAGCGCTTCCCAAATTTGAGATTACTATTATGGCTCTGCATATTTGCGGCTTTGTGGCTATTCTCGCAACACTCCTTTCAACCGCCGACATTGGTACCGCGCGCTCCGTCTGGCTTACAAGTCTCAACGAAGGGGGTTGGTCTACCCAAGGCCTTTCGTACTGCGTGGGATTTATGGGAAATGTCGCAACATTTGTCGGCGCTGACGCATCGGTGCACATGGCAGAAGAGGTTGAGAACGCCGCGTTGAACATCCCAAGAGCCATCGTTGCGGGTATGTGTATCAACGGTGTGATCGGCTTTGCAATGATGATCGTTGCCCTTTACTGTCTTGGAGATCCTACAAGCGTGTTGGAGACGGCGACGGGCTTCCCCTTCCTGCAAATTTTTCTCAACAGTGTGAAAAGCACTGCTGGTGCAATAGGCATGGGTGTGATAGTGCTGATCCTTACATGGATGTGTGCATTAGGGATCACGACTACAGCATCAAGGATGACTTGGTCATTTGCTCGTGACAAAGGAACTCCCGGCTCCAGGATCCTCAGTCGTGTTTCGAAAAGGACAAAAGTCCCCAACTTTGCTGTTTTCACTGTCGCCGCGATTGCAGCACTATTGGTACTCATCTACATTGGATCCGCTGTCGCTTTCAACGACGTAATCTCTCTAACTATCACTGGCTTTTACGGCTCTTACTTCCTCCCATGTGCTCTTTTGTTCTGGCACAGAATCAAAGGTCATATTCTACCATATGGTAGTTCTGTATCCAGCGCTCAGGAAACCACAACCCTGGACCCAATGGTTGGTACTGCCGAAGGAGACGTTTTACACGAAAAGAGTTCTACAAACAAAGCTCTTTTTACTGCTCCGGAAGCTGCTTCAGGGAATGGACACGCAGAAGTCGGCCACGTTGAAGTGAAACTCATTTGGGGGCCGTGGAAAATTCCGGGGATCATTGGAATCATTAACAATGCCTATGCTTGCTTCTACATGATTTTTGTGATTTTCTGGTCGGTTTGGCCGCCAGCAACGCCTGTTCAAGCTAACACCATGAACTACTCTGTCGTGGTCACAGGCGGTGTTATGATCTTAAGTGCGGTGTGGTACTATATAAGAGCAAGAAAGGTCTATGACGGACCGATTTTGGAAGAAGAGGTTGTCGATGTCGCTCGACGAGCTGGATCAGTCGTTGCATTGTGATAAGTGCGCAGAGTCACGCAGTGATTCTCAACGATTCCTGCGCTGCCATTGTAATTCGTTACGTAAGTCTGATACATACAATATTGTGGCGAATTACATAGGATATAAAGACTTGACCTGATCGGACTACGTTACTATATCTACTAGAAATGGGTTGAAAATCACACAAATCATTGTGAGTGTGAAAAAAGAAAATGTTCAAAGTAAATATCGTGTATATCTCGAGTTTTATTGCGTTCTTATGGTGTATAGAGAAGAAGTAGTGAATGCCTGCCAATGATAATGGGCGGATGTTTTCCTCGTCGGATGAATGCTGCCCAGCAATGCGATCTCAAAATTAGCATACACCGCTCACCTTACGACTAGACAGCTATGAGGAAAGAAGAGAATATTGAAATTTTATCTCAAGCAAGCTAAAGTGTCCAAGATCCATTTTTTATCACTGTCTCTACACCTCGTGTCGATCACCCTGATGCGGACTGCGATACCCGCTGGCATGAGCTCAGTGACGCGATGATCATTGATGTGGAAATTCGGCGGGTGGGCGACCCGGGCGCTCTTAATTGAGTGAGACATACTCGGCAGAGTAGCGTTTTTGTAGACGGAAGTATTGAATAGTCCTCTCCGAGATGCATGTTATAGGCTTTTGGAGGTAAGGAGTCCAAAAACTTGTAACGCCACAATCGATTGACTTGAGCACATCGACGCAGGTCCCTCAACTCAGATTAGATGCAGTCTTACCATGCACAGCCGCCATGTCTTCAGGTGATTAATTAGGAAATTTGATTTTTTGATATTTTTTTGACGGTCAAAATCGGAATTTGTTATCAGACACCCCCGCGTCTGTCATACTCATCTTCGAAAGTCATTTCAGGAAAGCCTCTCTCAGGCTACGGTACTCGGCTACCCACGTAGCTCCAAGCATGCGTTCTCTAGGTCTGACTTTACACCCTGCGGCAGTTATCATTACAGTAGAATCACGTAGCGTCCTCCTCCTCTTCTTCTCGCCTCCTGTTGTTACGAGTGTTCTGAATGCAGTGATATCGAATTTGGATGAGAAAATGGCTCCAGACTTGTATGCTCTTCCGTCGATGTGAGCCGTGAGAAGGTATACCAGATATTTATACGCACTAGATGATTGATACTCCATGATTTGCATGTTCGGTTGTCGTGTTTGACGTCAAAGACGGTCTAGCTTAAGCGAAGAAAAGAACGTTGCAGGATTCAGGCTTGAAACTTCTTACTTTGAGCTCTGTTGCTGCTACAGGCCGTCATTCACAGGATAGATAAGCACTCAGCAGCATCCGGGATAGTATCAGCGTAAATTAGATTTTTCTAGTTCTGTATTTGAATAGAGATCTGCCTAATTCATAGTAAACGCTAACGTAGTTCACCATCGAGCGGTCATTTTTACAGCACCTGCAGTTTTTGCTCTACATTTGCAGCACCAAATATTTAATTATTGTAAAAATTATCTATATTTCATACATTCAGAAACCAGATGATCATACCCACGACAAATATAACATGTGATCTGCTGCGCCGCCTCAGTAATTGCTGCATTTACTGTTAAGATCGAGCCCTCACCACCACCTGGATTTACAGCATCTTGAGGCATTTGAGGTGGCTGCATAACAATAGAGCTATTAGGAACTTGAAGTGCAGCATATTTGCTTATAACACGCCTTTTGAGTTGCCTCTTACGTTTCTGACGCTCATTTTCCTTGCGCAACTTCTCATTTTCTGCAGCTAGTAGTACTGCATTATGCATAGCAATCTGACAGCCTTTTACCAATTGATTTAGAGCTAGATCTGTTGGAGATGGTGGGCTTTTCGAACGCCTTGCTATATAGCTCTTGATTATAGTAAACTACTGCTCCGATTCAGCTATATTATGAGGCGTTTCAGGCTGCCACTGCTTGGATGCTGCAGGCAGTTGATCAGGAGGTGTCTAAGGCCTATGGATCTTTGCTAGCACCTCATCTGGGTTGAATGGCACTAGCCCTGACATTCAGAAGCCGCTTTGGGTATTACTAGATAACAAAGCATCTGTTCTGATTTGGCTATAGCCTTGTAAGAAGTCGTTTTTATCAATATGGTTGACACCGAGTCTGATGAGCTTTGTCACGTGATCTCCGTATGCTTTCTTGAGTGATGCAAAACAGCCTACATCCAATAGCTACAGTAGATGTGATAAGTGAGGAGACATACAGAGCGTTATAATTGATCAATCTTTGCAGTACTGGTCGAATTCAGGCGTGGCATAGCTACTGTGGCCATCAAGGATGAGTAGCCGGTAGACACCAACAGTCTTTGCTGCTGTACATGGCTCGAAAATCTCGCATAACCGCCTTAATCCAAGCTCATTGTTAGTCAATCTACTCTCACTTACAGCTATAAGGCTATAAGAAGGTAGTCTAACACCATCATACCATGTATTTATGTGCGTCTTGCCTTTGAGGATGACCATCGGAGGCAAGCACCATCCATTTGCATTAACTGCCTCAATTACTGTCACCCACTCTTAATTACCAGGCTGGATTTGCATAGGTTTACCTTATCTCTCTCAAGCATTAACCACGCGCGAGGTGCTTGCAATGCCCATTACAAAGCCGGTTTCATTAAAGTTGTAGATATCATCATTAAGGATGCCATATTTATCAATTGTATTGCGCACAAGCCAAAACCAATCTCTGATTAGCTGAGGATCTTCGCATTTTACTTATTGGCAACCACAGTTGCGTACATATTATGATTTGAGTGTTAGATGACGAGCAATATAGCAACTTGCCCAGTTAATTCTAATATATCAGTGTGCTGATTGGATGGATCGGATCAGCGATCCGACTCCCAAGTGGGTCTCTTGGCGGATCTGGATAATCCACTAGGATTATCCGGATTGATCCACCTGAGGCCCTTTATGGCGTTACTGAGGCTGTTGATTATGCCACATATGACTTAAAATAGAAAATATTTATGATGGTGAAGTGCTCGGATT